AGCCCTGAGGTGGAGATAATTTATTTGGCACATCTAAGATAGTTAACTTAAAAGTTATAAGCAGTGGCATAGCATGAGCTTTAGGGCGCCCCAAACAAACAAAAACAAATTGACAGTATTGAAAATGTTTTTTTTCTTCTAAATACCCCGCCCAAGCCTACCTCACACTGATTAAAAGCCCAAGCCACACTTTGATGGCTCTTTTTAACACAGGAGACTTCTCATTAAAATTATAGTAAAGTCAACCTTACATTTTCTCAAGAACCTTGCTCCAAGATCTGCTAAAGGCGTCTGAATAAGCTAACTTCCCATGTATTGTCAGTAGTAACTGTAGTGAGAGGCAGTCCCAGGCCACAGCAGGCAGCGTCTTGAACCTTGTGTTTATTCAGTGCTGTGAGAACCTGGTCTGGTGGGCCAACGGAACGGAGCACAGTGAAGGGGTGGTTTTGTGTCTGCACCATCTTGGCTGTCTCCAGTCACTTCCTGTGCCTCCACTCTGAACCCAGTGCACTCTGCCTCAGGTAGGCTATAGCTCCAGGCTGCTACAACTACAGACTGGGAGGGAGCCTCAGGGTTAGTCACTGTGCTATTAGATGGGTAGAGGAGAATACTCTGTAGTAGATACAATTTGCATATCAATGCTATAACAAAAATGTCTGTTTCTTGTCATTATAAAGTGTAATGATTTCTTCACTCTTGAAAGTGACTCCTTTCTCTGGGCATTCTGTGAGTCTGGTGATTCAGAAGGTCATTTGAGATTTTGTTCATTTAGGCCAACATTTTGTTCTCACGGAAACACTTTTTAGTTGATCTAATTTGTCTGCAGAACAGTCAAGTCAGCAGAAAATCCTATTTGACTTTCTAACACTGAACTACTCCCTCTCCCTTTCCTTTCTCTTATTCTATCAGCACCTCTCGTTCTCTCTCTCTCTCGCACTCCCACATACACACGCCGCACATAAGTGGCTTTACATGATGATACAGGGACACAGCGGCTTTTCCAGTTGCTTTTCCTCCTTTGCTGGCTCTAATTGGGAAAAGTCGGTGGAGGGTCTTGGCTACTGTACGTTCAAAGGCAAAATAGGGGTCGGGATAGGATGCAGGATAGTGCCTGTAGCAGTGGCCCCAAAATGATTGGTAATGAACTAGACATTGGATTGGTAATGAACTACTAGACTGTTGCAGAACCTGGTGATCTGTGTCAGAGCCTGGATACCTGAACCTGTACTTGAGATCGGCTTTGGGGTTAGGTTACAGGTCTGGGCTGACCTGGCAGGAGGCAAAGGAGCAGAGTGGCTTAGAGGGTTGGTTTTTGTTAACATCATGGTACAGTGCCAGTGTCTACTGAGCTGTGATAGGTGCCCTTCACCGATCAGAGTGTTTTACATGCATGTAAAAAGGTTGCTGTCCGGGGCAGACCAGGGTTTCCCTTCCCAAGTTTCACTGTGTTCTGTCTGCTGCATCAAAACATGACATGTTTTCTAATGAAGCTGAAGCCTAGGTTCCCTACAGTTGCTAAAGCTCACTTGTTATCCAGTCCCTATTGGCCACAGGTAGCGATGAGCTGATTACCTGGCTGTGCATAATTGTACAGACATTAATTTATTTTGTCTGATCCCTTGGCCTTTTGTAACTCTAATAGATGACATATTTTCCTCCGCTCTCGCTGCAGAAACTAATTGAAGCTCAAACTAATGACTAATTAGTGTGGTCAGCAACTCTCATGGCTGTAGCTGGTGCTTGCAGGGTTGAATGGGTAGTGCCAGTTAGGGCTGGCACAATTACCGTTAACCGTGTAACTGACGGTTATGGATGAAGACAGTCATGAAAATACAATAACCCTCAAAACGGTAAATTTTTTTTTATAATATTAGTTTTTTGTGTGTGTGTGGAACGAACAGCTGACGGATGAAGGGACGGCCGGTCATTTGTGCAGTAGAGTCAGTTTCTGCAGTAACTTGGATGAACTCTTTACAACGTGATGAAACGTTTGTTTCTCATTGCTGAAACAAGCAAGCAAGTCTTCGGTGTCTGCAGTCATTTGGCTGACCAGTAACCGTCATCTAAAATTTCATGACCATCACATCCCTAGTGCCATTGCCTCTGAGGGTAATATGTGGGTATGCATGTCATTATAAGGCCCAGTGGAATTGGGCTTGTATAACAAAATATGGTAGCTAGGACACTGGCCTTTGTTGACAGCCAGTTCTTTCCCCTCCAGTCGCCCTTTAGATCAAAGTCTAAGCCACATTTTGCCAAATGTATCAATGGATTCACACTTGTTTATGAATCATATTGTGTTAACAAAATCTTGCTTTGCACATGCAAAGGGATTTGGTTAGGCAATTCATCACTACATCGCAATTGCAGCAATCAGATCAAATTGTAATTCCAGTAAGAGACATGCGGTCCCTCCTGCCAAATCCCTGGCGGTGTCAGCTGTCTCGTCTCACTTGATCATTTTCCCCTCTGCTGTCGCGTGGCCTGCTAACCTCTGACCCCTGGAGGAAACGTCCTTGCTGCCTGCGAATCACATTCCCTTATTGTCACTACCCCCTTATCTCCAGCCCCTCTCACACAGACACACCACACAAGACCGCACCGTACCAGGATTCACTCCTGTCTGTTTTATCCCTAGACTGTGGCTATAGCTGTCCCCCTGACCATGTTAAAGGTTAGTGAAGTCACACTCACAGTAGGGATCTCCACTCAGACTCTGTTTGGCTTTATTTAGCACCTCCAAGTGCCTTTTTGATGCTCTATTTCCTCTTCCACATAAGGGATATTTATACCCTACGGAGACTGACCCTACGGAGCGTAGCGCAGTGTCGTTTTTCGTCACAAAAGGGGCGGCTCCTTGTAGTGCGCTGTGACATTCTATGTACTCCGTGCCACATGAAAATTGTAACGTGCCATATCATTCCTTGCATAGTCATGGGGGCATGGTTGTGTAGGCAATGAAGCTCGCTTGGTTCCTTAATCTGATCTATAGGCTATGCATCAAAGTAACCTATTTTGCATTGATAAGTAAATATAATCTCAGCGACTGTTCAAACAATAAACCAAACAACATTGTAGCCTTATTAGAATCCCCCCCCAAAATGAATTTTGTTTTAGAAGTAATAACTATTTATTCCAGGCTATTGGTAAAAACAGCTGTGAAATATGTACTTTTTCTCTGCGACCAAAACAGGATGACATTCTACTTTTAGAATACATTGAAGCAGCATATCAAATTGCGATAATGTAGGTTACAAGTATAAAAATATTAGCCAGGGCATATTATTTAATTCTGAATCTGATTATTTCACATGGCGATGTGGGAAGCTAAAGGGCTAGATAGCTTGCAGTGTTTAGCCAACTTGCTAGCAAGGGAATACATTTACATTTGAGTCATTTAGCAGACGCTCTTATCCAGAGTGACTTAGTTAGTGCATTCATCTTAAGATAGCTAGGTGGGACAACCACATATCAGTCATAGTAAGTACATTTTTCCTCAATAAAGTAGCTATTTTGTTAACACCAATATGATTCATTAACAAGTGCCAGTCCATTGACGCATCTGGCAACATGACTTAGACTTTAACAAGACAAGAGAGACTCTGATTTTGCTTTCACAACAAATGAGAAGATGAAAATAACCTCTGTCGCACCCTTGTGAATGTTGCTATTTTGGAGTCTGGACCTGCGAGGTATCATGTTACCAAAAGGTGCACATTACTCTAAAGAAAATCTGACTCCCCCCAGCGCACGAACACCCGTAGATCTACGCACGTTAAGTGTGGAAACCTATAGCAGGCCCTCTTTATGCTGCGTAGCTGCTGTCTCCAGTTCCACCGTTATAAAACATATTGGGAGGAGTGGTGGTTTTTGGCGGGAAGCCAGGGGAGACTAGGGCCCCTGCAGGCAAGGAAAGAGTGAGGGAGAGAGGGATTGGTGGGAGGAGGGCGGGATTTGGGGAATGACTAAAAAGTGTCAAGAGGGGAAAGAAGAAAACCAGGCGTTCTATTTCCCTGAAATCATGTGACCAGTGTGTGTGCCGCTGTAAGTCCCAACAAACCGCCTGAGCAGGTTACTGAGCTCCTCTATCTGTCTGGCATTCCCCCTCTTTTCATCCTCCTCATCACTCCATCATTGCAGTCACTGATGAAATCAAAGTTTATTTGTCACATGGATACAGGGTGTAAAAGGTACAGTGAAATGCTTACTTGCAAGGTCTCCTCAACAGTGCAGTACACTATCAAAATATTAACAAATTAGTAATAAAAAGCAGTAAAAAATTGTGATGTTGGAAATATATACACAAAAGAATATACAGTAAATACTATGACATTTGCGAAATTGAACACAACCTGATAAACATCAGTCATGACTCATGATCACATGTTAACAACCCTATCAGGAAATAGAAAGACCAGACTGTCCCTGGATAAGGGGTTCTTTAAGTAGACTAGGCCTAGATGTGACACAGTACATTTCAGGAATTTATTTTCAGCAGTCATGATTGACCTATTAAGTTAGTAATAGATTCTAAAATGAACTTTGAATTTGGTACCTTGAATGAAACTCGTTTCTTGAGTAAAATAGGAATCGGCCATCTGGAACACGATCATTCCTAGAGTAGGAGTTTTGGAAGTCCATGTCGGGATTTCCCTTTGACACACGCTCCCTGGTAAAGGTACACAGTGTACTCTTGGAGATGGGGCATTTAGGGAGGGGGGCCAGCGGTGTCCGGGATGGGGAAACATTGGCAAAAAACCTGCTAAAGGAACTAGAGAACTTGAGGACAAAGATGTGATAAACTTGCGATGTATGAAAGTTTCAATTTAAAGACTTGAATGTTTTTGCCAGATTTATTAGCCGTAGACTGTTTAGAACAATGCATCAATATCCCAAAGCATGTGAATGTGTGTTGCTCCTGCTGTTGTTGAGGTTGTTGATGTCCCCACCTTTTACCCGTTTTGGCCTTAAGTTGACACTTTTTCAGAATTTTCCTTAATATGACGCGTCCCAGGTTCTCTCGGGTTCAGCCATCCCTGGATGACCGCATCTTCCCCACACAGCCCGGTGTCGCTGCCGTCTACAGCGTGAGTACATATACCCTGCACCACACACACTCACACATTCCTACTGCACCACATACCCATACGCTCATACCACACACACTCTGGTTGTGAACCTCGCAAGCAAACCTCAACCACATCTCAGGTCTGATGCACAGTCTGTTTAGTTCTCACATTCATAAAATCTAGAAAACAAAGGCCTGGTGTGTGTATGTAATGTTGCGTATGTGTAATGTATGACAGAAACAGAAGGGAGATCACTTCTCAACCTGACCTCGGCCTGCTGCTGGAAAGATGTGGCTTTCACCTCAGGGGCCCACTGCAACATAGTGATTCATAATAACCGTCAGCATCACACCCCACCTACCCCTGCTGTGCCCCCAGTCCACTTACTCTGATGCATGAGCTGACCCCCTCTCCACTGCAGTGTGTGTGTGTGTGTCTGAGCTGCTGCTCTGCTAGATGATGCTGTGCTGAACTGGAGGTAAGGGTCTGTGAGGGGGAGGAGACAGGAGACAGGAGCCACCCATACATTGGAGATGATGCTGTGGATTATTTGAGAACGTATGAAAAATAGAACATCATTTTCAGAACCTCTGCTTGGAAACCAGACACCGGCATCTCTTCCTATTGATTGTGGTCCAGTGGAAGTAAAGCATAAAGGTTTATACACAACAGGAGTCGAAAACCAAATCTGTAATAATGCACTGAGGTTATCAACTTTGCTATCTCACTTGTATTTAAGTTGAATACAGATTTGTGCGCAAGGTAGTTTTGTCATACGTTGTCTGATGTAATTGAGGTCCTATCACGTCATGCTAGCTAGTTGATAAGGACATACACAGCATTGAGAAGTGTCAGTTGCAAATGACTGTGTGGGATTGGTTAGCGGTTTGAAAGGCTTTGGTCTGCTCTGCTGCTGAGGAGAGGGCTGCTTTCTGGACTCTCTTCCCCTGCATGTGTGGCTCCTGCCCCTCCCCCACCCCGACTGTCACACTGCGTGTCAGTGGAATCAGTCACCGGCAGAGACTCCTCCCCTGGCAACAGAAGTCAGATTAGCTGCTTTATCCTGGGTCAACCAGGGGAAATGGGCCACACAGAGAGAGATGCTAGGGAGAGTAAACCAGCGTTAAGAGAAAAACAGTATAATTTTGTCGTAGGACAAACAGAGGAGTGTTACCGCTACCTCACAGAGACTCCTGTGCAGAAGCAGCAGCGGTGTAGGCAGCACCTGCCTGCCTGCTGCCTGCATTATCTGCTGTGCCAGGCCTGCTGCTGCAGCAACACCTGCAGTGGGTTACAGCTCACAGTAGAGCACAGTGGCAAGGCAGGGGGATAGTACAGCATGAAGCACACTGCCTGCAAAACACTGCAAAGGGAAAGACCGGGCAGCACTTCACAGCCAGGGCAGAGCCTGAGTCTGCACAGCAGGGCACAACACACTTCATGTCCAGCATAGGCTCCTCTGTACAGAAACAGACAGGGGTTAATCCCTGCCTTAGCACCTTATTTATATTCCTCAGCAGGAGCAAGTCTAATGACCTGTGGAATCCTGTGCATGTGTGACTGTGAACATTCTCTGGGTGATTCTTTGCCAAAATGTATACAGCTTCAACACACTAACAAATACCGGATATCATGTAACTCAACACACATACAAGCATATACCCTCTATCTTCCTATGTCTTCAGTGACTCTTTCATTTTGTAATCATCTGATGTCCTCTCTATCTCTCTCTGTGTGCTGTAGGTACCGAGGCACCCTGGTCCTCCCTACACAACTCACGACTACACAAAGGGACACCCTAACTTGGCGGGCACGCCGCCAGGGCATGCCCACTCGCAGGCGCTCTCTCAGGTATCATTACCCACAGCTTCCCCATATCGCTACCCTAAGGGCTGGGAGGCAGGCGGAGGGGTGAGTGTAGCCGAGTCTCCGCCGTCATCCTCTCTGCATCTGACCATTAGTCTGTCCGTCCGTCTGCCTGTGTGTTTGTCTGTATTTCTCTCGCTCTCGCTAACATCTTTATCAAAATGCCTGTTGCAGCGTGCTTCGAGTGTGTGAGTTTGTTAATGAGTTAAATACACAGAGTGCCTGTTGATTGGTCGACGGTTGTGTTTTTGTAACTCTGTATGTCCTGTGCTGTTTGTCAATAGTCCAAGAGAAGCACATTTGTCTTAATGATCAGAATTCCACAGGACATCAGCAGCTTCCAGACTGCTGCGGCGCTCTCTTTTTTCCTCTCTGCTCTCCATAAGAGCCTGCTAAAGGGGTCATCAATTTGTCACTGAGACAGCAAGTCAATTACATTGCTTTTGCTGTGACTTGCTAGTTTCTCCTACTGCCTTGAAGTGCACACGCACACGCACACGCACACACATACACACAATCAAAAACACTTGGTTGCAATTCCATAATGTGTCAGCCTTTGCGGAAGCTGTGTGTGTGTGTGTTGAAAGGGTTCCCATGACCCTGTGTGTTCACCATGGTCCCCCCAGCCCACACACTGCCTCGGCCTGAAGGAGCTGCTCTCTCTGGCCTAATAATAGTGTCTGCAGCCGGTGGCACAACTTTAATTATCCCAGCTATATAGCCACACCACCAGCCTCTCATGAGGACAAGAAGAGCTGCTTAAATTCCCTACACTGCACACATGAAGTGATGCGATACAGGGGCTGGTATTATAAAAGCTCCTTGGAGATGTAGTCAAGCACAAGATATCCCCATATTTAGCTCTCAGGCCTAACCCCTGCAGAATGTACCAGATAGGCTGAGACATTGGTCTTTTTCAGTGTTTAACTAGACTACTACAGTAGATTTACCATGCTAACACACACACTGTCCATTATTCTCCATTGCTGAGGAGAACAACAGTTTGGTTGGTCTAAATAATTGTGAACTCAGGTGAAATGTCCAAACTGATGAGTCATCCCATCTCTCATCAGCTTGTTCTTAACTACTATTTTCCATCTCTCTTCCCTTTTTCTCTGTCCTAAATACGACCCCTTCTCTCTGTCCTTTCCTCTCTTTCCTACATCCATCCATCCCTCTGTCCCACCCCTATGACAGTCTCCATACACCACTGGACAGAATACTGGCTCAGCACCTCTAGTGTACTCTCCTCAGACCCAGCAAATGAACACACAGCCGCAGAGTCGCCCGGTAAGTGCCCGTTCTCTCTCTCTGCGTCATTCGTATGTATTATGACTGGTGTGCTTTGGGAAACCCAGACAGATCATGTTTCATTTTGATTGGCCTGGAGGGGTACGGTGTCATCTGAGGTAGTGATTGACATGTTCTGGGTTCAGTAATGAGTCTGATGACGTGTCTTCCAGGAAGTCCTCTACACACCCTCTGGCATCTGCTGTGTCTGTGATGCTTTCCAGTCTTGAGTTATCTAAAAGTTGTTGATAATCATTCCCGTAAATGGTGTGATCATTTTGTGTTACCTGATTTTACAATGTCACCCAGTCATAATGCATTTATTCAGTGTGCCAATGACTTTAAGATGATATACTTAAAGGATTGTACTGTTCTATCTGCACTTTCAATGTAGTCATCCATGCCCAGCCCCAGCCCCAGCCCCCCTGTCATATGGAACCACCAGGTCTGCATCATCTCCTCTAATGGCAGTAAACATGACAACGTGGCAGATCTACTGCTCTCTCTGTGGTTTTGTATTACCGTGCCTCAGTGTGCCCCTCATTGTTCATCTTGTCTCTCTGTCTCTCTTTGTTACTGTCCTCCTCTCTCTGCTTTGCCATCGCTGCCTCACTCTCTTTCTGCCGGACCTCTCACCTTCTCCCCATCAGTTTGCGACGGGCCCTCGACCAACCCACCATCAGGTAACTTACCCCATTTTGTCTGTCCTCCCTTCTTTTCCCTTAGCAAGAACTGCTTAGTGCACTTTACCACACTACTGTTATTGGTTGGCAAAGAGCTTCTGCTCTCAGTGGAAATAGGCCCTGTTTATATAGGAAGTCAGTGTTTCCCAACTCCATTCCTCAAGTACGTTTTGGCTTCCCAGTAGATTACAACGGCGATGGACAGAGTATGTTGCCACTGCTCAATGAGAATAGCCTATGCAGCTGCCAACACCTCAAACGTGTTGACGCATTTACGCCGACATGACCCCAGTAATCCTACTGGGGTCAAGACAGAAATCCACAATAAAAAATAAGAACAAAAACAAGACTTTGTCTCCCCTCTGCATTCAAGCATCCCTTCGCAGCTGATTCTGACCAGGCCAAAGAAATTACAAGAGCGATAGATATGTTTATAGCCACGGAAATGCGCCCCTTCTCGGTGGTTGAGAAGAATAGGGGGTTTCAACACTTCGTGAAAGTACTTGAGCCACATAACGAACTTCGCCCTCTCGCACCCATTTCAGCAAACAGGTAGTACCCGCTCTACAGTTGAAGTCGGAAGTTTACATACACCTTAGCCAAATACATTTAAACTCCGTTTTTCACAATTCCTGACATTTAATCCTAGTAAAAATTCCCTGTTTTTAGGTCAGTTAGGATCACCACTTTATTTTAAGAATGTGAAATGTCAGAATAATAGTAGAGAGAATTATTTATTTTAGCTTTTATTTCTTTCATCACATTCCCAGTGGGTCAGAAGTTCACATACACTCAATTAGTATTTTGTAGCATTGCCTTTAAATTGTTTAACTTGGGTCAAACGTTTCGCGTAGCCTTCCACAAGCTTCCCACAATAAGTTGGGTGAATTTTGGCCCATTCCTCCTGACAGAGCTGGTGTAACTGAGTCAGGTTTGTAGGCCTCTTTGCTCGCACACGCGTTTTCAGGTCTGCCCACACATTTTCAATAGGATTGAGGTCAGGGAAATGTGATGGCCACTCCAATACCTTGACTTTGTTGTCCTTAAGCCATTTTGCCACAACTTTGGAAGAATGCTTGGGGTCATTGTCCATTTGGAAGACCCATTTGCGACCAAGCTTTAACTTCCTGACTAATGTCTTGAGATGTTGCTTCAATATATCCACATAATTGTCCTTCCTCATGATGCCATCTATTTTGTGAAGTGCACCAGTCCCTCCTGCAGCAAAGCACTACCCACAGCATGATGCTGCCACCCCCGTGCTTCACGGTTGGGATGGTGTTCTTCGGCTTGCAAGCACCCCCTTTTTCCTCCAAACATAACGATGGTCATTATGGCCAAACAGTTCTATTTTTGTTTTATCAGACCAGAGGACATTTCTCCAAAAAGTACGATCTTTGTCCCCATGTGGAGTTGCAAACCGTAGTCTGGCTTTTTTATGGCGGTTTTGGAGCAGTGGATTCTTCCTTGCTGAGCAGCCTTTCAGGTTATGTCAATATAGGACTCGTTTTACTGTGGATATAGATACTTTTGTACCTGTATCCTCCAGCATCTTCACAAGGTCCTTTGCTGTTGTTCTGGGATTGATTTGCACTTTTCTCACCAAAGTACGTTCATCTCTAGGAGACTGAACGCGTCTCCTTCCTGAGCGGTATGACGGCTGCGTGGTCCCATGGTGTTTATACTTGCATACTATTGTTTGTACAGATGAACGTGGTACCTTCAGGCGTTTGGAAATTGCTCCCAAGGATGAACCAGACTTGTGGAGGTCTACAATTTATTTTCTGAGGTCTTGGCTGATTTCTTTTGATTTTCCCATGATGTCAAGCAAAGAGGCACTGAGTTTGAAGGTAGGCCTTGAAATACATCCACAGGTACACCTCCAATTGACTCAAATTATGTCAATTAGCCTATCAGAAGCTTCTAAAGCCATGACATCATTTTCTGGAATTTTCCAAGCTGTTTAAAGGCACAGTCAAGTTAGTGTATGTAAACTTCTGACCCACTGGAATTGTGATACAGTGAATTATAAGTGAAATGATCTGTCTGTAAACAATTGTTGGAAAAATGACTTGTCATGCACAAAGTAGATGTCCTAACCGACTTGCCAAAACTATAGTTTGTTAAAAAGACATTTGTGGAGTGGTTGAAAAACTGGTTTTAATGACTCCAACCTAAGTGTATGTAAACTTCCGACTTCAACTGAATATAAGCAAGCTGAAGTTGTCAATGAATTACGCCGGATAGTGAAATGAGAAGTACCGTGCTACAGACACGCCCCCTTTGTGTGCCACACAAGTGTGCATATTTTTCTCTTTGTAAGAACATTACAGGATAGGCCTATACAATGTCTGAGCCATGTTTACATATTGATTTCACATGCATATTGTACTTTATTTTGTGTTGTTGATGAGTAATTGTGTGTTTTTCATTTAAGAAAAAACAAAGTGTTGGTATTCCCGATTTGTGCTCTCATCAGGCATTATGACTCATGATCATACACTGCTCAAAAAAATAAAGGGAACACTAAAATAACACATCCTAGATCTGAATGAATGAAATAATCTTATTAAATACTTTTTTCTTTATATAGTTGAATGTGCTGACAACAAAATCACACAAAAATTATCAATGGAAATCAAATTTATCAACCCATGGAGGTCTGGATTTGGAGTCACCCTCTGTCACGTGAATTATTTTCTCTAATTCACCCTAAGCTTGAATCATTACCAGAGGTTGTAAGGCTCTGGTTTTAATCATCAATGATTCAAGGTCCACAACTCACAAGTCTTATCTGTATTTTTATTCATGGTGAGAGCTCTGAGGCCAAAACACAAATCTCCTTTCTTTATACTTCTTGACAAACAAAAACACTATGCTCCTCCCACCTTTCTTAAACAGTTCCCGCCTCCCCCCTTGAATGGTTAGTAACGCCCTTCTGTTAGTGGGTTGACACATGATAATTCTAACATTTATACTGTGTTTGGGGTGTAATTCTTTAGTCATTATTCTTAAAATCCAAATTAATCTAACAATCCACCCCTTTGACTAAATATTCCCACATTCAGGATAAATGTATTTTACAAGCATGATTAATCTCAGAGATCACATCAGAACTAATAAACATTTCATCCAATTGCGGTCTTTCAGGGTCCAATTCTTCGTCATCCACCAAGCCTGGAGGATTGTTTTTCACATTCCCCTGGTCAGAGTCCGGAGTCAGTCCATCTCTCATCATTGTTTAGATACTGCATTTCACCAACGCCTGACTCATTAATCCTCGGACACAGGGAACAAGACAACAACCACATAATACAAGAATACCCATACAAACACTGATCGCTCCTAAGATGGTGGCTGCTAGGGTTTTCCATTTACCAAATATTTCATCAAACCACCCTATCCACAATGTACTAACTTCTGAGTTCAGTTCATCCTTCACTCAGTGCAGTTAATTATGTAAGAGCTCTGGTGACTGTCCCATCCAGTGTGGTGTTGTTAGGGATGAATATGCAACAATGGCTTATCTTTCTATAGACACCGGCCCTTTCTGCCTGATCTAGAACCAACCTCTACTAAGTTACAAGCGGGATGGCGGATAATCGCTCAGAGATCCCCTTACTGCATCTCTAGTCTTGTCAATAAATCGCTGTTGGTTGTAATAGATATAATTTATCCAATCCATATTTTTGTTTGTCCCCCACCAGAAAAATGTTGTAGTAAAACTCTCCCATATTTGATTTATAGCTTTGTATTCGTCTAGAACACCCCTGGGGATGCCTATACCATCTATCCAAATTGGGCTATTTCATTCCTGACTTATTTATTTTTCTCCTAATTATTCTTCCTGTCACTGGTCTTTGATGACCAATTCTTACAGGTTGGACCAACAATACTGGTACACAAGTACCCACCCATCCCTCTGGTAATGTCTGCCGAATGCTCCCTGTTTAGTGCATGCCCACCACACATCAGTCAAAGGGATGGTTAGGTTCCTAATCTTTTTTCCCTTCCTTCCTTATCTAAATCAGTCACATTAATTATCTCCTTACAGCCATCAAAATCACCCAAGTTACGGGTGCCATTTCTATGTATGTAACACTGGTATTCGCCAGGAGTTAAAGTGAATCTAGGTGGGCTGGCCGAGTATGTCAATTTTGCCAGCCCAATCCCTGTGCAATTTGGCTCTTTTTGATTGGACCCCAGGTCTAATACACAGGGAAACATTGCCTTTGGCATTGGGGCGGTCAACATTGCTGGTCACCCAATGGAGCATGCATAACAATTTGTCTCCCCCAAAGCCCTAGCGGTGTATTT